CTATGGCGAAGAACAGAAACAAGAAGAGAAATGGCCTAGTTGTCATGGATGTCTCCGCTGATCAAACGGTTACGGATGCCCAGGCCATGGATACTTCAGAATCAGCAGCTCCCGCAATGGTGTGAGAGGGAAAAGGTGACTCTGGTCCCTTTTTCGCTAGAATGAGAGCGATGTTGGTCCTTTTTTCCGCCAGAATGAGAGGCAGCGGCCGGCGAGGGAGTTTGCAGGTACGTCGGAGAGGATGGAGAGGGGAGTTTGCAGGTCCCTATCTTCAATCTTTCACAGCAATCGTCTCCTTCTAATCCCTTTAACTTGTCTTTTTCAACCCGTTTTGATAACCCAAGAAAATCTCAGGCGAATTTTGGGTAGATTTCGACGAGTTTCACGGCAGAGGTTGGTGTGAAATTGTATTTGTAAGCAATTTGGGGTGTGAAAATAGTAGTCGAAGTTGGATTGCGAAAAGTTTGGCCAGATCTGATTGTGCGGTGGCCAGATCTGGTTGTTAGGTGGCTTAGGTTGTTGTTACTGTGGAGGTTGGAGGAGGAAAGAAAAATAGTGATGGTGTGCGGCGGAGATGAAGACGGGTGAGGGAGAAAATATATGTGATTTTGCCAGCAAAAATGGCGATGCCGCCGGCGATGGCTTTCTTTTGGTGGTGAAATAGTGAAAGTAGGGAGAATTAAAAATGCCAATAATAAATTAAAATGTTATTATTTTACATTTTATTAAATAATTTTGGTTAATAATTTTTAAAAATAGTTATGAAATAATTATGATGTGGCATTAATATATCTGACGTGGATATGACATGTCAATTATATAAAAGAGAGTGAGCTACACACATGGTTGGAGGGGCTTAAAAGTCTCATTTTAACTGAATTTAAGGGTCCAGATGACAAAGGGGTAAGTAGAAGGGTTCAGAATACAAACTGATACAAGTATAAGGGTCCACCAGACCATTTCGCCTATATATTATAATTTTTTGAGAAGGCAGATATCTTCCTTAATTATTCATATGATCAGCTGAACACCGATAAGTTTTCATATTCTTTATAAAATCATAAAAAAAAAATTTAAGAAATATTAAAATCTTAATAAGATTAAAGAAACTTAAATGAACTACATTTTCGGATTGTAGAAAATGACAACATAAGGTGCTTGTGGAAAAAAATTAAAAATCGATTAAAAGCATATAATAAAAATAGGGAAAATTGTATATAATAGCAAACTATTAATTCAAATTAAATGTCATAACCACAGTTTGATTTAATTGTACCCCGTAGCAAATTGTTGCTATTTCGCCTCTCTCCTTGGTGAATCTCGCTCGCCACTCTCAGCAGTCTCTCCCTCGCCTCTCTCGCTTTTATACAAATGCAAATGTATAAAATGTGTTTGTATTTGTATAAAGCGAGAGAAAATTGTATATATACATATATTTTCGTTCCCCTCTCCCAGATCTCGCTCGCCAGTCTCTCCCTCGCCTCTCTCGCTTATACAAACATAAATATATAAATTGTGTTTCTGTTTGTATAAAGCGAGAGAAAATTGTATATACACATGTAAATACATATATCTTCGTCCTATACACTTATAATATACAATACAAATATTATCCTGCCCAGTTCTCTTTTGCCTTTCTCTCTTTCTCGCTTTATACAAATACAAATTATACAAAATACAATGTATAATTTATGTTTGTATAAAGCGAGAGAGGGAGATTTGATATACAAACGTTTTATTTCGATTCAATTGTATACAAATTCAAATTTTATGCAGATATACAAACACATAAAATTGAATTGAGAGGCTGCCAACTATTTATACAAACGAGAGGCTGACAACTATTTATACAAATGGCCTGCCAGCGAAATTATACAAATCTGAAGATGAGCCAGCGAGTTATACAATATGATGCTCCATAGCAAACATAAAATTTGTTATGGAGCGCACTTATACAATTTATAGTTATAACATACAAATTTGATTTTTATGTTTGCGTTAGATGTGAAAGTTGTTCATAAAAATATAACCTTTATTATGACTTCATTTCCAAAGACAAGTTTTTAATAACTATGATCCTAAGAGATGTCTTCAATTCATTATATTTATAGAGAATATTTGCATCAACTTTATCATCATCTTTATTAGCACGTTGAATTGATGGAAGAACAATAAAAGATATATGTGCTACATTTAATAATGACTATAGATATGTTAATTGTTTTAATATTAATTATGGCATAAAAATTGCATTTAACCAAGAAAGGAAGCAGCTAAAGAAACATATACTTAAGGGGAGCAATGTCATAAATATTTTAGTTTGTTTTAGAGATTGGATTAGATCAAAATAAAGAAATAAATGAATACCATACAACTACAAAAAGAGGAAGAACTTAAAAATATAATATCACTTGGAGTTTCATTGATATAATCAATTTCATGTCTCCAACATATGAAGATATTGATTATTAAAATTTTGAATAACTCTATCCTAATATTAATATAGAGAAATTGAAAAAAATAATTGAAAATATGTAGATTTGAAATCGAAAATTTAAATAGCAGTTAAAAACTCTCAAAATTTCACATTAAGTCAACATTCAACCCAATTAAGCTTTAAATTGAAAAGTTTTTGAATTATTTGATATGTTTAATTTAATTCGGAGTATATCTGAAACATTCTCTTTACCCTAAAAAAATAAGACTATGCATTCCTTTCTCTCCAATCCCCACTTCTAAAATTTCACTAAATATGTTTGTTGTTGTGTAAAGTGAATCTCCTTTTCCTAATTTAAGTTTATGAAATTTGAGAAAAAAAAATATTATAATTTTGTCTGTTTTCTATTAAGTTTTACAATTTAGCTATTCATAAAATAAAAGGCCCGTTGAGTTTTTGAATTTCTTTTTAGTCATATTTGCTTGTCTTGTTCAAATAAAATAATTTAGAAATAATATCAACAAATATTACTTAAACATATTTTGACATATCAAAATTCAATGTTATATCCAAAATACAAACAATACAATAATTTTTAAAATGTGTTAACAAATATAACTTAAACATATATTAACATACAAAGTTTAATTTTATTTTCAAATTCAAAATAATACAATACTTGCAAAAGAATATTAGCAAATATTACTTAAACATATATTGACATGTAAAAGGTCAAAACATATATCTTGTTTGAATAAAAAAAAATTAACATACAATAATAATTTGAAAATAATGTTAGCAAATATTATTTAAACATATATATATTATTTTTAAGCAACGACTAATTTTTAAAATTTGGCAACAACTGGTTTTATTAAATGTAAATGTCAATGCTATTATTAGAAATTAAAAGAACATGAAATCCAACCTATAACTCAATCTGGTCCATTTAACCCGTTCACTATACTAATCAAGAATCAAGGCAAGGGGCTAAGTTCTAAGTCGGGCATCCTTTCTCTGGACCCCATCCCCACCCCCTTAACATTAGCTAGGGTTAGCCTGAGTTTTGTATGACCACATTTTAGTGAGTCGGATTTCCTCAGCCTAATAGGATAATATCATTACTTTAATGTTCGATCTATAAAAATTAAAGATCTCATTTCAATTAATACATAAATGACCAAAAAAAATTAAGGAATAGACATTAATATTCAAAATATACATAATCTAAGATATGGTAAGTAATTTTATAAATTTTTCTATTTATTGATACGTTTTTCTTCTGCAATCTTGGACTTCTTCCTCCTTTCTCTTTCTAGGTCTTTTGCAGCCTCTTTGTTGTGGTTTCGATGGGGAACCAACTTTTAGAGAAAGCACTCGGCTTAACTTTGAAGTGTGATGCAGAAGGGAAAGGCAGGAATGACCTGATTTTGCTTTGAATTCGAATCCTCCTGACCCATCTTCGCTTTTGAAATCAAAAGAAGATTGAGATTTCTGTGGTTTTGAACTGATTTTTTTAGTAATTGGTCTCTTCTCAATTGGAGGGGTTGTCTTGGGTTCCTAACCATTTTCCTTAGGCTCAGAACTCTTCTTTATAACCTGAACAGTCTTTGTAGCTTTGCCATTAGTGCTATTGTTAACATTCTCCTTAACGCCCCCATTACTAGTTCCTGGAGCGCCCCAAATCCACTTTGAATGCTCAAAACCAAAAATCCTGACCCTTTTTGAAAACTGGCTCTTCACCATCTTTCACATTAGTCAAATATTTCTTCTTTAATCTCCTTACCTTGTCACTGATTTGACTGTTTGAAACTTCAACCTGCAACTTCTCCCTGATGAATTCATGACAAGCAGACATATCGGCACTAGGTTTCATACCTTTTACTACCTTGTATTCAACAATACCTTTGATTAGAGTAAGCTAGTCGTATCGCTCCATAGACTGCAATGAGTAACAATTGATTTTTTTCCTCCTAATTTTGGGTTTCTTCCTCCCTTTCTAGGTCTTTTGCGGCCTTTTTGTTGCTGATTTTAATGGGGAAACAACTTTTGCAGGACTACTCGGCTTGACGGTTAAGTCTGATGCAGAAGGGGAAGGTAGGGAACGATTGATTCATCTTCCGATTCGAATCCTAACCCATTTTCACTTCCGGACTCAAAAGAAGATTGAGGTTTTTGTGGGATTTGAACTGATTTTTGTGTAATTGATTTCTTTTCATTTGGAGGGCTGTCTTGAATTCCTCATAACTTTCAGTACTTGATAGTCTTAAAAAAAAAAAAATCACATGGATTTGATTGAAAACAACAAATCACATTTTAAAAAAAGATTTCTTCCAATTAAAAATCACAAAAAGGCGTGATTGCTCCGTCATCCTCCGAACATCCCCATTCGAAATGTGAGTAATGGTATTGGTGTTACTCATAAAACTCACGTGGAATAGATGTCTAATGGGAAAGTAATCGTCCAATTGTAGAAGGCGCGGCAATCGATTAAGACGTTGGCTTTTTGTATAAATAGAAAAACCCTACACAAAGTTTTCATCTTTTTGTCTTTGTGTCAACACGCACCATAGACACAGCTGACGGCCGAATAGCTCTCTTTTCTTGCTTGCAGAAACAATGGCCCCCAAAACCAAATCCCGCTTAGTAGACCAGCCTCCTTCTGCATCGTCCTCTGAAGAACAAGAACTGGTGGAGGAATCCCAGGAAGAAGAACAACAACAATCGAGGGAGGAAGAAGGAGAAGAAGAATCAGGGGAAGAAACTGAAGAAGATGAAGAACCCAAGACAGCCCATCCAGTTGTGAAGAAACCCATTTCTCAAAAACTAGTTCAGACACCACAGAAGCCCCAATTTTCTTCTGAGTCTGGAAGCGAAAATGGGTCAGGATCCGATTCGGAAGCGGAATCGGGTAATTCTCTGCCTTCCCCTTCTGCATCGGACTTCACCGTTAAGCCGAATGTTGCTGCTAAAGCTGCTACCCCATCGAAACCAGCAGCAAAGAGACCTCAAGAGGCCCAGAAAGAGAAAGGGAGGAAGAAGCCCAAGATTGCAGAAGAAGAGGAGAAAAAGTCTGCTGCTACTCCTCGGAGTCTTTGGAGCGATGACGACCAGCTTGCTCTACTCAAAGGGATTATTGAATACAAGACGGTAAAAGGTATGGAACCTAGTGCCGACATGTCTGCTTTTCATGAATTCATCAGGGGAAAGTTGCAGGCTGAAGTTTCCAAGAGTCAAATTAGTGACAAGGTAAGGAGGTTAAAGAAGAAATTTTTGACTAATGTGAAAGATGGTGAAGAGCCAGTTTTCACAAAGGGTCAGGATTTTCTGGTTTTTGAGCACTCAAAGAGGATTTGGGGCGCTCCAGGAACCAGTAATGGAGGAATTAAGGATAATGTTAACAATACCTCTAATGGCAAAGCTAAAATGACTGTTGAGGTTAAAAAGAGTTCCGAGCCTAAGAAAAGTGCTAAAGTGAGCAAACCAAAGGATGACGAGAAACAGAAGGAAGAAGAGCAAAAGGTTGCCGTAAAAGAGGTGGTTAAGGAGGATATAGTTAAGGGTGATCAACAGGATTTCCAGTCCAAATATCCACGTTTGGCTGCATCACTTGAAACTATGTATCCGAATGGTTCAAGTTTGTTGAAGGAGAACATGAGTTTGATTGCTACCGACAAGGCTAAAGTGCTGGAGGAGAAGTGGAAGAAACTAGAGGATGATGAAGCTGCTTTGATGGTGAAGCGCTTAGATTTCATTGCGGAGCATTACAGATTGGTGGTTGATGCAATGAGAGGTAACTAGATGCTGATGGATCATGTTCTATTTGATGCTGCAAGTTCTGATACTGTTTCTGTGGAGTTTTAGATATTGTTTCTCAAGATAATTTCTTCTCGCATTGATGAGCTTATGTTTAGTCCGCAAAGTAGATTTAGTTTTTCAGGTTGATTCATACATTTTATTGCTTATTTAGCTGTACTAGTGAACTGGTTTGGATTATATCCGCTGTGTTGCTTCTTATATATGTTAGTGTGGTATGGAGTGATTGGCCCTATTGTGGGGTTGCAATGAAATGCCTACACATTCCTATCATATAATGTATGGTGGAAGCAAGCTTTTGAACAGCTGAAGTGGAATGTCTGGAGACGTTCTGGTTCATCCTTTGTAATATGTCATTTCCTATTCCAGATGGAAATATATTTAAATGCGATCTTTCTCAGTTTTTATAGCTTGTGTTGATTCACTTTGTTCTCAAGTTGTTGTAGCTTGTGTTGTCCTTGGCCTACTTGTTATCTCCTTGCAATGTTGATCCACTTTGTCCTCAATTGTTGTTCATGTAATTGATTTGGGTGGGGGATAGTTACATTTTCCTCTAGATATTTCCTTTGGTATAGAGCGTAATGGTGTTTCCTGACTAGACAGTTGTTCAATCCTAGAGGTTTCAAGTCCTGTTATATATCTAAAAGAACTTAAATTCTGTTAGAAAATTTAAGTTCTTAGGTGTTTCCTTTAACTGCTGATTCTCTATTCTTTCCTAGTGAAGATATTCTGCAGCGCTTGAATGTGCACACACATACACCTTTTATATGTGTGTGCGTGTCTACACGCTTGGATTTGTCATCATTCAATCATATGTCAATCCTATGACAATTGAGGTCAGTTATATGAATTCTCAATATCCGTTTGTTTTGTTCAGGTCCATTGCCATTCGTATACTGAATACTTAGGTCTTAAAGATGAATTAAGATATTTCTAAATCTCCCACTCATCTCTTTATGGTATCTTCTTACTAGTTTAATCTCAACTGTTTTTCATCCTCGTATAGATCTCTTAAAACTTTTTTCTCCATGCGACTCAATTCACCTCTTAAAAGTCTTAATTATTGTGTTGCCAAACCTATAAACCAGTGCATTTTGGAGGTCTTAACACATGGGGAAGCCATCTAACTTTATCTTCCATATGTGCTACCTGCACTCTGTTAGCCCTCCTAATTCAATTGTATGTTGCTCTCTCTCTCTCTCTCTGTCATACCATTTTCGAGGTAGACTGAATAGATATCTAAATTGTTCCATTATGCACCATAGCTCCATATTATGGAACAATTTTAGCTCTGAAAGATGTTTCTTGGATACATATTTCCCATTTGCTTGCAGTTGCAATTGGGCTGGTTGATGTTGTCGCTCTATATTCATATATACAGAGCATAATAATCCTGTATTTTCTTTATTAGTCTAGGGTGTATTTGGTATGGAGGAAAATGTTTTTCAATTTTTCACTCGGAAAATAAGTTCCTTAAAAATGAGGAAAAGGATTTTCCTAATCGAACTAGGGAAACAAGTTCCATATGTGTCATTTCATTCGTTCTCATACATATTTCCCACACCCCAAGTATGCCATCATGCTTTCGGAGCAGTTGTTCGATTCTTTGCAAATGATCGGGATCCTTACCATTGATAATGATCAATCTGTTGCAGGGCGAATTAATATATTTTCTGTTGATACAATCAAGTATGGTCTTAGATACATATCTTGTAATTTTTTGCGACGCAAATGGACATTATCCTCTTCTGTGTTAGAGCCATTTTGGACCAAATTAGTCCAAAATGTATATCAATCTCGTTACTGATAAGCACGTAAACTCTATAGCCCTAAACTAAAGGAGCAGTCTCATAAACATATTTCTCTATTTTACAATTATTTTTTCTTTTCTTTTTTTAACTTCAGTTGAATTAAATGGAATTAGAAAACTTAATTAAAATCTCATACTCTCTCCGTCCCATATTACGTGGTACCCTTTCCTTTTTAGTCCGTCCAAAAAAAAAAATCATCTTATTATAGTTGGAAACAATTTCTTTAAAATACCTATTTTATCATTAATGTAATGATTTTCAACCACACAAATATCTATGGATTGTTTTGGACCATAAGTCTCAAAAATCTTTTCTTTTTTTTAAAACACTGTGTCAAGTCAAACGGTGCAACATAAAATGAGACGGCGGAGAGTGTTATTTTATTAACAAGACTTAAAAGTGCTGCTCAAATGATTTTGGCTAATAACATGCTAAGTCAAAAACACAAGAACATGGACTATCAATAATATTGTCTACAACACAATCATAGTACCAAAACATCTTCATTACATTACAGGCCCAATTAACAAAAAATAAATAAAACAAAGATTTAGGTAGATCGATAAGCATGCATAAATTTGAAATCTAAATAAAGGTATCATTTTTTTTATGCGTGTTAAATATGGATGGATCAGATATTTTATCGAACCCGTTAATTGTCACTCCTAATTTGGACTATGGGGCAAGTAGCATTGAGGCAGTAGAATAATAGGCAACAGCAAAGATGGCATGGATGAAACACAAGATTCCACCAATTGAGAAAAAATGGTGATGTGAAAACCCACAGGAAGCTCTTGACTTGTTGTTTGCCATTGTCCCTATAACCAGTAGTCCCATTCCTATTGCCATTATGATCCTGTAAAAAAAAAACACAAATTAACCCAACAAGAAATTCTTCAAGATATTACACCAATAAAAATAAATTAATTAACAAAATCATAAAATAGTAGAGAAAATATATGATCTTATTTGTTCTCATTGATTTTTAATGAGTTAGCTTTTTTGGTTAAGTAAGGTTACGGTTCATTTCTTTAAACACAGAGTCAAAACACATCTATATCTTTGGTTTATCTCATGTTGGGCCCAAATGTTACTTTGTGTCCAACTTTGAACACAAGATCATATCTAGTCAAAGAAATGAGTCATTGCATGTTTTTTTTTATATAATCTCGAACAATCTTCACCTCGTGAAAAATTAGATCTAAGGTCCATTTTCTTAGCAATTGTTAACACCCTCAAACATTTCATTGTAAGAAAAACCAAAGTAAATAACAAGAAAAGGACAAAAAAAAATACTCTCTCCGCTTCAAAAAGAATGATATTTTTTCCTTTTTAGTTTGTTTAAAAAAGAATGACCCCTTTTCATTTTTTGGCAACACTTTTATTTCAACTTTCCACGTGACATGTTTTGATAAACAAAGGAGTTGAAGAGGTACCATGTGAAAACAAGACAAGCCATTGATAGTTGTCTACTTGGTGATGCTTTCTTAATGTCATCAGTAGCACAAACACTGCAGCCACCAAGAAGGTTAGCAAGAACATGAGCAATTGCAAGAAGACATGCTGCAGCCACACCAAGTACAAATGCATCATGGCTTGGCTCTTTACATTCGAATAACCACAATCGAAGATGTTTTTCCTGTTCCAAAATCCCAAACACAAAACAAAAAAATCAATAACAATTTTTCTACATTGTTAGATATTTTAATTTGTTATAGCTAGTAATTAGTTTACCTTATGTTTAAAAGTTACTAGTACCACTTTTTATGAATGATATACCTATACATAATTTTTAGGTGATCTATATTGTTAAGAAGTCCATTGGGATTGGAAATTAGTGTTTCTTATATGGACTTGGACAAACCTCCCTCATAAGCTAGCTTTTGGGATTGAGTTAGGCCCAAATGTCATATCTTTACATGCTATCAGAGTCAGACTCATCCCAATTTGTTGTTCACCGATGTTGGGCCCCCATTATAAGTGTTCACACTCCGGTTGAGGTCTGGGCGTGCGGGGAGGGTTAAGAAGTCCACATCAATAGAGGATGAGAAACTGGTCTCTTTATATGGACTTGGATAAACCTCGCTTCATGAACTAGCTTTTGGGGTTGATTTAGACTCAAGTGCCATATATTTACGTCTATATATTGGTTAATAGGAGTTAAACTTAGTCATCGTTATGTATAAATAGTAGATGTTGAATTTCTTTAGTGAAAAACCTGTCGTCGCCATTTGATCTATGAAGTTTGAAAGAGATAAAGTAGGTACCTGGTTTTGAGCTACTTCTGCTTTGATTCCAAGAATGCCAGCAATGGAGTCTAAGGCCACAATCAACAAGCAGACAAAAATACCAAACAATTTAGCCATTTTCTCATCAATTTTTAAGTATCTTCAACACAAAAAATGTATGTAATTTTTTGTGTTATATGTAGCCCCTCTTTCTCGGGGATATGAAAAGAGTAAAAGCACTTTGATACAGAAAATGCTGAATTTACACAAGATATACCATAGTATAAATAGTGAACTTTATTGTAATGGGTTTTCAACTTTTTATTGATAGTATAAATAATACGTGCTCTCTGTTCTTTTTTAATTGTTATAGTTTCCTTTTTCGAGTGTCAAATGATATGAATTTTGACTAACAATTTAAAATGTATTTTTTAATCATAGTGATGTGAAAAAAGTTGTAATATACAATATTTTCCATATAATTTTTGAATATCTAAAATTTTATTTTTATAATATCGAAATGTAACATGACAACTAAAAAGAAATAAAGGGAGTAGATGTGTTAGCTTTTAAGAAAAGCTTCTTTTGTCCTTACAATGGTAGCTTTGTTTGTGCTTTTTTGCCTACTTTTTTGCTTGTGTTTGGATTCCCTAAATTGCATAGAAGAAAAGTTGGGTATAAACGAGCTAAGGAGTAAAGAATAATAATGTGGCTTAGGCATCTATCAATCACATAAGCAAAGAAAAAAGAAAAAAAGAAGGTAAATTGGTGAGTTTTCAATGCCTTTTTTTGACTTTGAAATTAAGGTACATATAATACATATATAGGGAATTACTTTGAATTGGTAATTTATCTAATTGTTCCTACCAAAGCTCACTCAATTCAACTCTTCTAAAACAGTAATATGTCTGTGTATATATATACATTTCGGTATTCGATACTCACATCGATGCCCTAACTATTTTAGATTCAACACATTAGCCCTATTAAAGAGTTCGGTACTCACATTAATGCCCCTAATTATTTTGGATTCAACACATTAGGCTTACTAAAGAGAGAAGTGCACCATACGAGGAATTTTTCGATACCAAAATTTGAATCAGGATGAAATCATGAAAATATGCTATATCCATCACACCACAAATATTTTAAAAATAAGCATTTACGTGTTTGAATACTACAAGAAAACAAGGAATCAACAACAAATTTTTATTTTTTTAAGTAAATAACATAAATCCATGCTAAATTCCATTTAGCTACGGATTATATGCAAATTCAATTAGATAGGAATTATCTAGCAGCAGATTAGCTAGGGATTACCAATAAATTCCGTAGCTAATTTCATGTTTTCTAATAAAAAGGTTGAAACTGACAATAAACTTTATTTCAAATGATACTACTATTTGAGAAAACATTATTAATTATTTTTTCTTCTTTTCAGTTTCATGAACTTTATTAATAGAACACTTACACATGATCATGATGCTAAAGAAAAGGAAAGGATCAAAAGGAAGAATAAATGTAAGATCTACAAGAATATTTTATATAGTTTGCACAAGCTAGCATCAGTGTTCCTTGAGGTAGAAGCAAGAATCTATAGTCTTTACATACAACTTAAAAGTTAGTTTTCTCATAAGATTAGACTCTGAAAAAGTTGTAACTTTTGTTTAGATATTAACACTTTCTGATGTGGTTATGTTTCATAGTTTTCGTTGGTATATGCTTAGGGCGGAAGGAGAGTGTTAGTTGCTGGTTCGGATAAATTCAATAACTTTTGTTTAGATATTATATGTCTTTAAAAAAAGTTGTAAATAATTAGTTGCGAACTCAGTAATTATGATGATAAGGTGTTAACAAATAACATTAACTTTGGAGACCAAATCACCGAAGACATGATCACTTTAGATAGGAAGGTGTGGATGGAGGTCACATATTAGGATGGAAGGTTAGTAGGTAGTGGAGTGTTGTCTTGTTGTTTGAAGGTTTAGGCCTTGTCCGAGTATGTCGTAGTACTAGTCTATTCATCTAGTTCTTGCTTTATATATATTTCATCATATGCTATTTATTGTGTTTCGATCATCACATTATTTTGTTGTTGCTGATGTTCCTTTCTTGTATGTTTTACAATGCTTTCCTTATTAGTTGTTACAATTGTTTCTCTGTTTTCTTCTCCTTTTACATGGATTTATTGCACTTGAGTGATGGTGTTGTAGAAACAATCTCTCTATGATTCTACCTTCACGAGGTAGTGATAAAATTTGCGTACAATTTACTCTCTTTAGATTCTACTAACGAAATTCCGTGGAATATGTTATTGTTTGAAGACCAAATTGGTTCAGATATCAAATTGGGATTTAGTTTTGTGTTTTATACACAGGAATGTACCATGTCCGAAAGAAGCAGCAGATTCTACAAAGGAACATGAGGCATAGTCCATGACTCCATGGCACTAATATTCACACCGAGCAATTTTTTGGATATATTTTATTTTAAAATTGATCTAAATCAACTCCAAATTTAATATCATACCTTCAAAAACAATATTCAATATTAAATTCAACTCGAACTTTTAAAATCAATAGTCGCGCTTATCTCTCTCCTTCCACAATCAAACTCAACATAATCCAATCAATTTTTCTATAGAGCACAAGTTCTGCAAATGTTTATAAACTATTTGCAATTTTGCATAACTTTTTTTTTTAAAATGGCAAAAAGTTAAACACCGGTCCTTATGAAGGATATCATCCTAAGGGCCCGTTTGGATAATCAACCTGAGTTGAAACGGATCCAACAAATTCGGACCCAAAGTTTTGGCCCGATAACTAGGCCGAATTTGTTCTTTCTCCTCGCGATTTTCTGGCTTCCATTGAAATCGAGCTCTGTAAGTTGTTATTTATTTTTACCCAATCAATCTATGTCTCTTTCGATCCATAAACCCTAATACTTTTTTCTGCTAATTCACAGAATACACAGATTGAGATTAGTGAGAACAGAAAACCCCATTTATGCTTTTCATGCTTATATGTTGATTAATGAAGTTGCTCTAATTTGTTTGTTCAATTTATCTTGTGGCTTGGAATATCCAGATTTTTGGTTAAAGCTGTTTCATTAATCTGAATCAATGAGGTTAAAATAATGAAAAGAGAAGCTTAACAATCTAATACTTGCTTATTGTCAATCTATACATATCATTTAGCCCCAGGGGCTAGCTCAATTGCCATGGTTTAAGGGACTTGTGTCTAGGTTACAAGTTCGAGCCCAGTGGAGAAGGGTAGAGGGGCAACCCATATCTTATTGAGTTTCGAAAGGCTGTGGTTGGCCCAAAGGGTTAGTTCTAGACGGATTTCTCGGTCATTGAAAAAAAGCTATACATATCATTTAGGAACATAGTTTCATTTCCACCAGACGAGTTTAATTCATGTGCACTGAATAGGTTGGGAATATGTTCCTTAATTGCCGTTAGTCTAAAAACTATTTTGACTGTTCAGCCATCTTCGATTGTATTGTTGTATGAGCGGATGATGTAATGTACTAGCGTTACAAGACTTTCTGCAATTTGAAATCCCTAATCCATCTCAATTCTTGTATATTTCATTTATAAACAGGGTACCAGGCTAGGGTCCCATAATGGGTGTGGAACAGCAAAAAGACCAACTGAAAGAGATGGACTGGAAAACTCTGGGTGGAACAGAGAGTAGTGAGGCTAATGTTGTACCAGCAGTGAAGAAACGGCTTCCAAAAAGGATTCGACAAGTGCCTGAGTATTATTTTCTTCCACGAAAATCCTTACCATACTCCATCGCCTTTTATGGGTCATTTATTGCTGCAGGTGTTGGTGCAGGAATGCTACTTGAAGGATGGATCAACAAGAAGATAAAAGGTAATCATATACTGCTTTGATTCAAATTACATTTCATTGCGTATATGTATACAGTTTCCACTTTTATACTTTGAGCTTGCATCAGTAGCATGTTTTATACATAGCATATAAAGCCTTATCACGAGTCTATTTTGGGATCTCAAGAGACTATTGTGTTGTAATGCTTAGAAGTCTATCCCTAGACGATAACGAAATACTAGAGGAAAATGCTCAATTCTTTCTATCTGGGTGTTAGATTATTAATGACTTAATGTGTTTGGACGCAGTAAATGCTTATGTCATAAGATTTCTACTCTATTTTTTCTTCTTGTGCAATTGAGAATATGGACGTAATATACTCAGAAAGCCCTTTTGGGATGCCAAAGACAAAAGGATTATATTTACAGCATAGTCCTGATCTCGGAGAGTTCTTCAGGAACTGATCTCTTGCACAAATTACACTCCTTTTTGGCACCTATATTCTGTGATCTTACTTCCAACAAGAGAACATTATACTAGCTGATGCTGACTTTAGAGGAGCAGACATCTAGTATCAATGACACAAAAGAAGAAGGGTTATTATACTTTTAATTGTTTGATTACGTTACATCTTTCTTCCTTGAAGTGTATTGGTTCCTTGCTAGTTGTTCTCTTGATTCTTATCTTTTCTGCCTCTTCTCTACCATTCAATCTATTTTTTTTGTAATCCATTCTTGAGCAAACACTTTTCAAAAGATCGAAATGGACCCTTCACACGTTTGGAACTTGAAAGTCTAGGAAAACATATTTGTTAAGCTTTCCCCAAAAGCCAAATCCACTTTAATGGTGTCTTAATGCCTAACCATCTGACAAATGCTAGAGAAGACATTAAGACACTCAATTGAGTTCTGTCGACACTCAGAAACCTATTCAAACGCAGCAATTATTTGTTTGATTTGTCTTGTAATTTTCTTGTACCCTGATCTTCTCTTGTTTGTTCTTGTTAATTAATTTGCTCCCTAATGATAGATGATGAAGGAGTCATTTGGGAGTTCGACAAATGAACAATGAATTCTTTTCATGTTTCGATTGCGACTGCTTTTGGTCCAAGGAGTTCACTGGAGATGAATATCGTAACCATTACTAGATGATGATAAATCACTCTTTGGCATCCAGTTCAATTTTGTAGGTTGTATATTTCAGGAGCAGAGTGCAGAACAGAGATGTTGAATTTGGCAGACAGTACTAAAACATTAGGTCGTATATTTGCCTTAATGGCTTAACCTTTGAATAAATAGAGAGGCCCGGCAAGTGGGCCTTCCTAAGAATTTTGTATCCTGATCACTGAATAGTTTCGAAAACAACATCTCTACCTCAACCAGGTAGGGGTAAGGTATTTATACACTCTACCATTTCTGGACCCCACATGTGGGACCAGAATCGGTATGTTGTTGAACACTGAATGAACAGTTATAGTAGTATTGGATGTGGAGCAATTGAACATTAATGTAACTATAGCCATTGAGGTTCTCAGGCCAATTTCGTGCTACTAACAATGATTGAAAGAAAAAAGGCTGACCAGATGGAATTGAAATGACGAAATTCATAGAACACGAGTATATGCATTTATATTTAGACTTCGATTTTTTATAAAAATTTACTGATTTTTAATATAAAAATCGAAATTGAAGATGATTCATAGCGATCACGTGCTTTACATGTAATGATTAGCAAAAATTAGAATAGACTAACACTACATAGTTCAGTGCAGTTAACAATTTCTCACACATCTACAGATTTTCCCTTTACTACTATAGCCTAAACTTTCACTGTTTTTTCAACCAAAAAAGTAAAAAAGAGGGGAGTTTCCAAATTAGCTATGAGCACCTGAGAATCGGACTCGCCTTGTTCAAGAGAGCATGCCGGAAAAAAACAAAGATCGGCGGTAGAAAGCGTTTCTCTGAGCAATTTTCCTGTACTGAACCAGCTGTTCTACGGAGTAAACGCAGCAGCCTTTTGAGTAGAGATAGGTCTGAGCAACAGGCGAGTTCAGTAAAACCTGTAAAAGCTGCTGCCTGTTCAGCCTCGCCAGTGTCCCAAAAACGCTAATTGCCTTCGCTTCATGATTTGATCCATAGCTTGTACTTTTTCCATTTCTATCCTGATCGGAAGAAGCACCTCCTTCTACCAGCGGAGGCATGCTTTGTAGGACGCTAATCTGCGCCTGTAGAAACTTCACGTATTTGTACGCCTCTTCTAGCATAGTCGCCGTATCCATTTTCTTGTCCCATGGCAATAGCTTCTCTAAACATCGTATTTTCTCGCTTAGCTTCTGCCTTCGCAATCGAGTTGTAGATGAACTATACGGCTGCTTGTTTTTTAGGAGGTTACTCATAACTTCTGAAACAGGCCTCACCGGTTCGACGACTCGGTTTTCTGTTGTGACCAGCGATGACGAGCAATCCAAATAGTTTGGCTGTTCGAGGCAACGGAGATCTGGAAGACTGTGGTATCCAAAGCCGTTGGAGAAGTAATCGAACGGCTCACTCAACACAACCTCTTTGTTGTATGGATATAACTGGAGATTATCAGTTACTGGTTCCAGTTTTGGGAATTTCATCTTTTGAGCAGCATCGGGATTGATCTCCGTCTTCTTATTAAGCCATGCAGAATCTCCAGAAGAGAACTCATGAAAAGTCGCCGAACTTTGCTGGATTTGAGACGAAGCAGTAGCACCAGCGCAGAGCATATCATTGGTGAAAGAAGGGGCGAAAATTAGATGAGTGAGCTGAAAAAGGTTTCACTTCGCCATAGTAGCTGTGGTCGAGGTTCAAACTCAACAGAGACTGATAGCTCAGTCCGTTATACATGCCGTTGATGAAGGCTTCATCAGACTCAATAAGTGGCAGCAATAATGCTTCTCCGGCATTAAACTCCGGTTGAAGAAGAGGTAATTTTCTCTCCATAGCCCTCACACAAAACACGCAGAAAAATACAAGGGATATTCTATAGGGTAGATGGTATCTGTGATTCCGGTAGTGTATATAGGGGATTAAGGGACACGTGGCGGGATATGACTAGAGGTATATAACCGACAAGTAGCTCTGAGTACTGTTGATTCTGTCTCTAAAATGTGTACTATGCCGTTTCATTCGAAATTCGTTTCTTTTTTTGGCGGGTTCATCTAAGGCCTTTGATTAGATTTTGATCCAACGGTGGAAATGTAGGTTACTGCCCGTAATATGGGAAGCACCTCATTGTATACTAGCTCATCTGGATAAGGACAAGAATGAAGTGAATTATTCATAAAAATGGAGGGTTAAAAAAGAAATAAAAGTGAAACAGAAAGATGAAAAGGTAATAATTATGTACCTTGATTTGGCAGATACAGATAACGCTGTAAAACTTGCCGTTATCTTTGCTGCCATTTTACAACTCGAAAAAAAAAGAACAGAATTATTTCACCAAGACTGAAAATACTATATCTACTTAATCCATTTACATCTAAAATAAAGATTAGGAACTCATTCACTAATTTTTCTTTTCCCATGACAATGAATTACATATTACAAAACTGATCAAGAATGAAAAAGGATATAGAAACTGTACACAAGAATCAAGTGATGAAGCAGGCAGCATAAAGAAATCAAAGACTAGAAGCAATCACCTATTCTCCCCTTTCCAATAGGGAGAGGGATTCGATTCTAACATCGAACACCGTTTCTCTAAGCAATCAGTATCCTAACAGCAAGTGTTGTCCTACTAATGCTGCTCCACAAAATTTCATCTATCCCACTTGGCCTGAAAGATTGCAGGTCTATGCTTAAGCCAATGTACCATCTCCCTTTCTAGAGGAGACTTGTTTAGAATACCATCCAGCATAGGACTGCCAAATACATTGGGACTATTCTTAAATGACCATATCCGATCCTTTGGCCATGCTCTCTGCGGCTGCTTCTCCTGCCAAGACAAGAAGTAAGAAACTTGAGTTGAGGGGAAGCTGCCCACTATATAATAAATGGAACTGGTGAAATTGACTGAAGCTATACACCCAAGCTTATCAAGCTAGTTGTATAAAACCCCCTATGTGGTTCACAATATTCATTGGCTGCCCAGTGTTGCCTTCTAAATGTTAGGTGGGGTTTGCCAAGATAAACAATGAGATGCATGGGGAAAAAAAGAAGAAACTCACAGCAAGAGAACACAAGCACAATAAATTACAGCACTGCGATCAACAACTAAGTCACACTTATATTATTCTGAGTATATTCTTCCTAAAGGGTATTGGGCATGTTCTGCTTAGAAGGCATTCCTCTACTAAAACATATGGCATCTAGCTGTAGGTTTCTTCTGCAATAGACAACAGACTAAATAGAGGTTGCTCTTTTGAAACTAACACAAGGCTTACCATTCTAGAGAGCATGAACTTCACAGTCCTTGGGCCGTAAACACGTTGGCGGGATGGCTTCTGGACTTTAGCATAAAAAGAGCCAGCTTCAGGTAAAGACAAGCAACCCCTGCTCGCCTTGAAAAGACAATTCTCCGGATCTGCATTAGCTTGGTTATACCAATAAAACAGCTGTCCTAAGCAATAATTTTCACCATATGTCTTGCGATACTCGTGAGTACCAGGTCCCAGCTTATCAGTATATTTGGGTCCCAGGTCTAAAGGACTTATATATACAGGAGGTGAAGTTACAGTCTTGTATTCCTGCAAAGAGAGAAGATATACAAGTCAAAACCTCCCAATGCCCAGTGAAAAGGATATATACCCAAAAGAAGTTTGACAGGATCAAGTAACATACTCGTATCCTAAAAAAACACTTTGTATAAGCATATAAATGAATCAAGTCAGCAGCAGCATCATGTCGAGATTTGTATGAGCATGGAAGATCTCGGACCTCATCTCTCAACCTAGAACAAGGATGTGCAAGTCAAGAAAATTGTTTTTTGATAAAAATAACATAGCTAGAATATCATGGTTGACAGTTGACACTACTCACCATATTAAGGATTTTCGAAGGCCCGCCTCGAGATCATCTGACCTGGATGGATCATGAGCTCGAATCTTGGCCTTGAGATCATTTAGCATACTATCTTCCAAATGAGGAGCCATACATTGAAGCAGCTCCTCAACAAGAGACCCCTCTCCTCTCCAGATAAAAGAAACAGCTTCTTCGGGATTAAGCCTCTCAAGAGGAGGGGGAGCCTTTTCGGGGTCACCAAAAACACATCTCATTACATAACGCACCTGCCAAAAGCACATCAGCAGCTCTTAGATTTAACTTTATCTCAACACATCAAAAAAAGTCCTCAGCAGCCAATTCTTAAGCAAGAAAAACAGAAGGAAATGTAAGGATGACTTGGTCAAAAAGGAGAGTCGAACCTTGTCAAGAGTCAGAGCCAAGTTCTGAAGCCTTTGGTTGTAAACACCCTCAGCCTGTATTATTCAAGAAAAGATAATAATTATAAGAAGAAACCTTTGCACATGCAGATGGAGGGAATAGAAATGGAACTATAAAACTCCATCTGACATCATGCATTGCATACTAACCTGAATCTCAGATTCGTTTTTCTCAACTTCCAGACAAACATCTGAAAAGTATTTCTTCTTCTCTTCCAAATTATGTTTGAGTATCTCATCGGGAAGCTTCGTCCTCTCAAAATTGATAAATCTCACCTTCAATAATAGCATATAATTCAGAAAATGCTAAAAAAATGAACAATGGTAACCTATAATCAATTCAAAGCAAAAGCATACCAAACGAGCTGAATAAGCAATCAACCAATGTGGCAGACCAGCAAGTAAACAACTTCCAAGTCCAGCTTTACCAAGATCAATATAATCTTCTTCAGAAACTGAATTCAGTTCGCACGCCTCTAGCATCAGCTGGTGCCGGTTAAGTAACCCATGGTACTCCTGGAGCACCTGCAGACAACAATAATGATTCAGGTGAGGAGAAATAGGACTGCTGAAAGGGCATTAAATATGATTTCCAACAAAGGTGATCATTCAAATGATCAAAGCATTTTCCTTTTAAGTAAAAAATGTGAAAATTCCAAAACACCAAATAACCTCAGTCATATAACAGCTTAAGGAGAAGCCAAGGTTAAGATAATTCTTCAAAACTAAGATGGAGAATGTACCTTCAGGAAAGCCCCTTCACCTGTAAGATTCAAGTAACTTCCACGGCAAACCTGGCTGCCGCATAAACAGACAGACGCTTCATACTCTTCTTTACTCTGTAGCATGAGACACCACCATTTAACCAAAATTATCCACAAAAAGGAAAAAAAGAGAAAGGCCCTATCCTCGAGCTTAACAGATCTTTAACATTATCAAAAAACTCACCTCTGTAACAGAATTGTAATCAAAAGTGACCTCTTCACCATAAGCAATTGGTCGTGTACTATAAATTCCAATCTGATACTGACCATCAACAGCTGTTACTCTGTTCACAAAAAGGTACATAAAAGTCATGAGAAAGACTATAGTTTTAAACCAGTAAGGGGAAAAAAGAGGGGATGATACATAAAACACACACGTATTAACACATCTCTTAGGGGAAACCATAATAACACTGACATTAAACTGTATTTCAACCTCTTTACCAAAAAAGATAAGTCTTACAGACTTCCCTTTTCTCTGGGAAAGCAAATATCAGTTAAACGTCGACGCAAAAGGCACAAGCAGCTGAAACAAATGGTCAAAAAATTTGTTCCAAGTACAGACGGATCCAGGATGTTTGACCTATAAGAGGTTCTTAGCACTAACTTTACTTCTAAAATCATGGGTTCATATCTAATATTTGTTGAAATTTTAGTGGGTTTTAAGACATATAACTATGTGCTTCGTCAAAAATACTATGTTTGAATGAACCCACTGGCTAAGGGCTGCATCAACTACTGTCAAAGATTTCCCACTTCTCCATTTTTTGTATCTATTTTTGGAATTGCAAAAACATGTGATACATGGGTTCATAATATCGGTTCGAAATAAATCACACTAGAGCAAAGGAGGAAACTTACTTTGCTTCACAATTAGGTCTGCACGAGTGACAAATTCGACTAGCATAGTTAGCTTTGTGCATTGCATCAACAACAACTAGATCATATCCATCAGCATCACCCTAACAAGAGGAATTATTAATAGGGTTAGGAAAAAGGTTGAAGCAAAAAAAAAGAATAGAATGAACCCATATCAACAAAGGATACCTTTGGCCTCTCAAGATAAATATTGTAAAACTCCGGTGCAGGATCATTGTTATTCCTTTGCAAGGAGCGAATTCCATCTTGCTTCTCAAACCATTTCCAAGCAGGATAAACCTGTATGTCTCGGGAGAGACATGATTAAAGTCATCTTTTAGAATGTACAATTCTCAAAGCAAAATTAAGTAAAAGGATACTCAAAACCTGGAGGAATTGTACAGGCATAATCCAGAAGAAAGCATTTTATCCTTACCTCCCCCAAGAATTCGACGACAAAATCTTCCTCGCTGAAGCCACCTTCTTTGTTGCACACAACCCCAAGACCCTGACAAACACGTCACAAGTTCATCAAATGTTGGAAGAAACAGGATGGGCATTTTACCCAAATACAGAAGTAATAAACATTTTTTTTAGGTCTCAGAAATAACTATTATTCATTATCCTTACCTTTCTATAGGCAACATAATTGTCCTCTGGACGAGTATCAATGGCATTCAGCATGAACTGGCATAAACGTACAGTTCTCTTGTCCTGATCTTTGTCTGCAGTTTCCAGAATCTCTTCGAAAACAGGCTTCAGAGAATATATCATTGGTGTGTGACTGCCCGTGAAGCGCCGAACTTGCTTGTTTAGAGTACAAAGGAGCACGTCTTCAATAAACAAATGCTTGTCCAGTAGAGACCAATCCGATTCATCTGGCATGGAATCGAGGAGAAGATTATGAGTGTATGGATCAATACCATAGACTTCCTGCTCTATCACCTCTTCTCCAAGTGTTTTCCTTGGTTTATAATCCTTCACTTCTGGAATTTCCATATCAGACTCCTCAGTTCCATTCTTCTGCACACTAAGCTTCCCAGCATAATCCTCTGGCAAAGAAACCAGCATCTTTCTTTTCACTTCTTTCTCATCAGCTACAATAACATAATGATCGATGACTTCATATTTCCTTGTAACCGGAGGGACCAGGCTAGCCTTCGTCATGCGAGCACCCCATTCACGTTCGTCAGCAAAAGAATCAAACCCATCATCTGGAGTAAAATAATCTTTTGATTCTGCAGCTCCACATTCTGATCTTAAATCCAAGTCACTTTCTGTCTCTGAAGCAGTACTCTCGTTGTCACTCGAAGTATCACCAGAAGATCTGCTAAGATCATCAGATGTTTCACTCCCTGAATCTAAGGATTTCAACCTCAACTTGGATAAGCGTCTTTTGATCTCTCTATCACTTGCAAACTCTCCATAGTCGGATACACCATTAACATAGGAAGATCCATTGCTTCTGTTGAAGTATTTCTTTTCAGACATTCTAGCAGGATTCTTTTTGTATTTTGTTGTACTAGAAGAGAAACCTGGAGGAGACTCATCTTTCGAAGTCTTCATCATCTCATCTCTTGTACTACGGAATGACTTGGGATCATCTTCCAACCTAGTAGCGAGACGGATAAATAGTGCAATAATGCGATTCATGTCTTTGGCATCACCACGGTTTTTTGATCTGAGCCACAGCATTTGTAGAATATCAATCAGAAATCAGAATTTTCAGAAATTATGTTAAAGTAGAACAGAAGTGCCACACAAAAAATTGAACCATTTGCACCATATAGATTAAAAAATTTATCGTGTAATTACTCCACAACCACCTTTCCCTTCATTCATCAACCACACAAGAGGGAAGACGCGAAGAGGAGAACAGAAAAATGCAGTTTTGGCGTTGGAAAGCAGCAAGGAAGACAAAAGCATTCCCTAGAGGATTGAACATATGGACTATGTTCCTTAATGTGTGTGGGTGCACTGGGTACATCCAGCAACATTGAAAGAGGCTATATAATCAGTTGGAACGGGCAGAGGGCAAAGAAGCAGCTTAAAGACTTCCGGAGTGCCGTCTCTCAATGCATTTCTGGTCATTATGGAAGGAAAATTATATGTTTTGAAAACAAATGTACAGCAGTACACTTGGTCAAATTTAAGCCTGCATCTTTCCGTATTCTTGGTGTAAACATGAAGGTTTACTGAAATGTAATACTTTTGTTGACTTTCTAGATCCCTTATTTATCTGAAGGAAACAGAAGCCTTCTTATGTGCATACTCTAGCACTTTCTTGGTGCAATCAACAAATTCTCACTTTAAAAAATTGCAGTACAGGTCCGCTCATTATCCCTGATTCACACTTTCAGTCCCTCTTTGCACCTTTAGCCTTTTAGTTCCCTACCCAGTGACTTGAATCCTAAAGAAATAGGCATTAATGGATCTGTAAACCAAGGGCTCATGTAAAAGAGTATTTCATCATTTTTAGGGATCATTACTAACAGGGAACAGTGATTTTATCAGATCTATATTTCTTTCGGAACATACTGTTTTCCTTAAAAATGAGACTCGAACATGAATATTGCCACTTTTAAAAAGGCAACCATGACACTATTGAATGCAGGTTGACGAAGTTGCTAGAGTTCAGCTAGTTTTGTATATTATTGGGGCTAAATTGGTAAAGTTTTCCAAAGATAATTGGGTACAATGGACTAAGGATTCATACAGTTGATCCTGGCTCGTTTGGGATTGATTGTTGTTCCTGATTGATTAAATAGCACAATTAAAGGTACAATTAAGGTCAAATAGAGGTATCAAATATGCATTGATCTCCCAAAACAGAAATTCACACAATTCTGCAGTTGCAAAGATATGCCGACACTAAAAGAATCATACACAATACGGAATGCAAAACTTACTTTAGCGCATCCCGGCACATTCGACTTATATCCTCTTTGGCAGATTTCAAGCCACGACTAGCATAATATCCACTTCTGATTTTCTCCTCAATCTCTCCGACCTAAAGAAAAGGGGACAAGGTTTAGAAGCATCTAAACAGTATTTAGAAAGAAACTAAGCAAAAACTAATAGTACCTTTGGAACAAAAAATTCGAAGGTATTTTCCTTCATTATCTCCCTTAGACTTGAGGCAAGAAATTCCTTCATCCTCTTGAAACAATTTCTTGATTTCCTCATTGCCAAATGCCTCAATTGGGCATCCCTAGATAGCATGGATGAGGACTTTCTAGCATCGAAAGCCTTTGAACGTTTATACAAGCTCCGGCGGAAAAACTGGTTGGCAAACTCTCTCTTGTCCGAACTTTCCAAGTAGTCTCTCAGTCCAATTGAATCATCCATCTGATTTTCCTGACTATTATAAGTTCTATAAGATGATGAGGTTCTATCAGAAATGTTTTTGAGACTCTTAACTTTCAAATTCGAGCTCCTGCTCCTAATCCAAATAATATTTGGAAATTTAACAGCAACATCTTCAAGTTGGCTGCAACCTCTAATATCTATATAGGATAAACAAGAGAATGAAAACAGAACATCCTCAAGCATTCTGGGAGTTATGCTGGTACAATCACGTAAAACCAAGGAAGTTATCTTTTCTTTGTTGTAACCATTCTGCAAAAAGAAAAAATAAATAAAGAATCTGTTACTGTGGAATCATAATTTCTTGACAATTTTCTACTTGTTAAATGTTTCCCAATTTGGGAGCCAGCAGGAGAGAAAAAGCAGCAGAATGTCATGAAAGCAAAAGCATACCATTATCGTCTGCATCATGGAATCAGTGCAACTGGAAGCAACAGATAACAGGTCAACCTGAGGGGAGATACCCTTATAAATCTTTACTATGGATCTCCAATGCTTACAAGTTAAAGAAGCATAAACAAGAGATTTAACATCAGCTTTAAGGAAATGAAAGACCCGTCCAAGCACACGATCATCCAGTAGATCCCAGCTTCCATTTTTTATTCCAGATGTAGTAATGGTTTCTCTATTGAAAGTTTCATCACCACATAGATCATCAAACTGGCATTCATCATTCTGGAATACCGATATGTCCTCTTCCATTTCATATTCTTCTTCACTTCCATGGCACCTCGCCTTTTTGCTGGCACGAAAATCTATCAGAGAGAGATACTTTAGAGAATGAGAAGCAGCACATAAAGGGGGAGAAAGACCAAAAAAAAGGAAGAAAATAGTTGAGCAATCGAGTCCTTCGTAGCATAACAGACCCTCTCCTTTCTGAATCCAGGTTGGCTTGTGGTTTTTTGACATAATTTGGAACGAAGATAAATTTCTTTAAATCACAAATACATACAAGGGACAGGGAAGGAGAGGAAGAGGTTCAAATTCTAAGGAAAGAAGCGACTCATTCATCATATGCAACGAAGTTGTAACAGAAAGCGGGCGTATGACTCAGACATCCTAAAGGCAATCGCATTACAATAAAAACTAACAAGCGAATCTTCTGAAGCAAGGAGCACGAACCTGGATTGTTCTCTTTCTTTGGTTGTCTTGCATTTATCCAGGGATCCAGGACCTCATTAATAGCAGCAGCAAGTTCCCTGCTCTTGTATGACTTCATGACCAACTCATGAAGCTTTCCTTGGGTATGCCCGATAAACTGAGGATGCATGCCATGAAATGTGCAAGGAGCACCACTAGGTGCACTTTGTAGAGAACTCTCCAACTCTGACTCAGAAGCTCCAAGAGTCTCATTGGGTGTTTGGCACATCTTTGACAGATCAGATGTCTTTGAACTTGAAGCAACTGGGACCCAGATCCTATCCACCCTTCTGAAAGCACTGCTATTTTCTGGTATAACACCTTGATCAACCAATACCTGCAACTCAATAAACGAGAAAGGCCCTCTTTCATGCCCAGCCCCGTCAAGGTAGTACCACTCACCTAAATGTAATTGTAACTCATCCGCTGAGCAAAGACGATCCTTTGGAATAATTAAGGGCATGATGCTCTTACTGGAACCATGTGATTCTTGGTCCTGCCTACTTTTCGAGCGATAGACGGCCTCTTCTGACGACCTCTTAGTATCACCAGTCACCACATATGGTCGTGATGACCTCTGAGGATGCCTATCTTTTCCTCTAACTTTAGTGTGAGGAGGCTCAGATACAAATGACCCATGCTCCTTAACTACACATGCATTTATCCTGATCACTGGAAGCATCATCCCTTTAGTACCCCTTAACACTGGAGGTTTAGATTGATTGGGTCTTCCAACAACGTTACTATCATTCCACTCATCAGGAGTAAAAGCCCATGATGGAAGATCAAGCTTTCTGCTGTGTGACGGGTTATACAATTCATCTTTCTGCAGCCATCTTGGGTCTTCAATCCCAGATTTTGACATGAGGCATAGAGGATAACCATCATTAAGAACAAGTTTCTTTTTCCACAGCCTATCTTGTGTCGCATCATCAATTCTTTTCCAATCACCACCCTTGCATGACCACAGACCAGAAAACAATTCAGCTGGGTCACTGCAGAAGAAATCACTTTCCTTATCACTGGTCCTTGGTTCTGTGGATTCTTTCTGCACCTCTGAACTAGGTAAGAACTCATCTGAACTTTGATTCCAGTGTTCCCCTACATAAGAGAAACCAATGCATACTTAATCATAAACTTCCTTACCAACAAGATGGAAAAAAGTGTATACATCTGATGCACACAACATAGTGGTTAAAGCAATCCAAAAGCATATAAACAAAATGACATGATAAGGGACCAGTCCTGAAAAAAACAAACTCTGAATATATTCAAGTCCAAACACAGTTAGAAGAAAAGTCAATCAACCGCATAACAAAAGTTCTGATACAGATACTAAAAAACATATATACAAGCCTGTATACACAATAAAGATATTATCTTTTACATCTACCTGTACCACATAAAATTCCATTCAAGAGTAGTTTTAGGTTTTTCCTCAGCCCCCCACCCCCCAAAAAAAATTACATCAAACATTTTAGTCTCAAAAGTTAGGAGAGAGGCTGATCACAGCCAGTGACGAAATTGGGTGTGCTGGAGATAATTAGACAACCTCTTCAATGATGCAAGTAAATTATCTACAGAAAAAATGAAAGAAAAAGAAATGCAAGATCAAGTTAGACTTGGTACAATCCGGCCTCCAAACTTTTTCTCTCTCCAAAACCCCAGGACAGGCGAACAACCATAGTTTCTCTATTTTAATAAGTAGGGATAAACAAATATAATTGGTATGAAAGTAAGTTATCTATAAAAACAAATGAAAGAAAAAGGAATCCAAGATCAAGTTAGACTTGGTACAATCAGGCCTCCAAACTTTTTCTCTCTCCAAAACCCCAGGACAGCGAACAAACATAGTTTCTCTATTTTAATAAGTAGGGATAAACAAATATAATTGGTATGAAATATTGACTGTCATTAATTATTTCAATTACAAATCATAAGGAAATTAATAGATTGCGACTAAGATAGGATGCACAAATTAGCTGATACCTCAGGGTAACTTCAAACTGATCAAAAAAGAAAACAGATCTAGCTGAAACTCAAAATGGCAAAGTAACATAACAATATCATCTCCTTCATCCAAAAAAATAAAAAATATAACAATCTCATCTCATGGTATTAAACCCCACTTCAATCAAGCTAACAACTGCTACTATTCACAATTTTCCTCCTTTACATTCAAATTAGCTTCAGACTTGCTTGTATGTTGCTTTGAGAAAACTGCAGTTGTCGTTCAACAAAAGGTACTGCTACCAGTTTCAGAAAGTAAACAACCATAGCCTAAATGAGTGAAGAAACAATCGTATAATAGACAAACATGAGATTTACCAAACAAGTACACCAATATTAAGTAGTCAAATTTCCACAGGAAAGATAATGTTTTCAGCAATTATTATCTTAGGCAGAGAGCTAAGAAAACTAAATCAGCAGTAATACCCCACGAGCTATATATTCTCCACATACGCTTCAATAAAAGATGATCAAATAACTTCCTTTATCACATAGGCATAGCAGTGGAAAACTATACCCCTTCAATGATCACCAAGGAGATATAGAGTTGAAGTAGAAACAAAAAGAAGAATTACTTACCTTCAACACTTCCCCATTTCTCCCACTCCACATGCTCCAAGGTCACTTGCAGCACTTCTGCAGAAGAGAATAGCAGACGGGAATATTAAGTGTCAGAAGAAAAAATCTGAGCACTACCATGAATAGAGAGATAATTCTAAGAAAAATCATGAGTTACTCACCACCAATAATCTCCAGTTCCCTGCCAGGAGTTACAGAAAAGCCCTCTAATAGTGCCCCTACTCTCTCATCAATATGATGTTCGAGAGAAGGTTCAGCTGCAGTCAAATTATCCCCATGACATGGTACAATCTCTGATGAAGGAGGAAAAGTATCCACAGCTACCTGGTCATTAAGTTGAGCTAGATCACACTTATCTTCTAAGACATTACCAGAAGCCTCGGGAGGGCTCACCATCTGTGTAACTACATCTGAAACAACTGATGGAAAATTTACAGTTGCCATAGGAGAAACTGCATTCTCAACAGTAACCCACCTTTCACTATCTGCGTGTTTGACAAAGTGGTCAGCCACAATGTATCCCTCTTCCACCAGTGACTTTAGCTTGCATAATCTGGAAGGTCCTTGTTCCACACCAAACTGATCGACGTAATACCACTTTCCAATGGTTCCTTCTGCTACAGTTGTAACATGTGGTGGGGTATTGCATATATCCATGTCTTCTTCCATAGATGCCGCCTCCTCAACAGCTCCACTTTCCTCTGAAGGCTCCAAGGCATTCACTGCAGGACATTGAGGCAAACCATCATTGTTTACTGGATGGTTGCCACTTTTAACAATTGAGCAGTTACTATTTTCAGGACAGCTTCTAACCTCAGAATCCTTAGCAAATTGATCTTTCATACTGACATCCTTTTGGCTACTGAACTTTCCTTCATGCTTTTTGCCTTCAAAATGACTTTCCTTTTTATCACTTGGTCCACTTTTCCGACCTGTGTCTCGATGATAAGTAGTCCTACTCCGATCACGTGGGGACGGCTCCATGAAGTTTGGTGTCCTGTCCCTCCTATGATGGTGGCGGCCTTGATCTTGTGGGGACCACTCTGAATAACTTGGGCTCCGGCTTCTATGATCATAATGACGACTCCGGTCATAAGGAGACCTACTGTGATCAAAGTTACGGCCTCGATCATAGGGAGACTTCTCACGGCGGGCTGGGCTTCGATCCCAGTTATCAAGATGGCGGGCCCGGTCACGTGGGGACCTCTCCAAATGACGAGGACTGCTATTAAGTCTGTCATAAGGAACTTTAGATGTCTCATAATGCCTGGAAGAATACCTGTCAGGTGGAATGTTCCTATTAGAAGGAGCATTCTTGTGCAACTTCTCAGTAGAACGCCGCAAACTGTGATCTGCTGTGTATACAGCTCGACTTCCATCATCAGAAAGTTTCCTGCTTTTTGAACTTGAGAAGTCATCATACTCACCCCGGAACTTACGGTCATTTTTATCTGAATCAGTACCATGCCGTTTTAACCTATTACCTGAGAAGTATTCTCTTGCAGGATTATTGCCATTTCTCAGTTCGCTCTTGGAAGGACCTTCTTCTCCAACAATCTTGGAACTAATCCTTGGGTTCCTTTCTGGAATGCTAGGTTCATATCTAGATAACCTCTTCATATGCTGAATTCCACCACTTCTACCACCATCTTTCTCCCCAGAATGCTTACCTGAGGAAGGTGGTGTCCATTCATGGTCATTTCTCCATCCTTTGTCCTTGGCCGAAGGTGGCGTCCATTCACGGTCATTTCTCCATCCTCTGTCCTTGGCCGAAGGTGGTGTCCATTCAAGATCATTTCTCCACCCTTTGTCCTTGGCCAAAGGTGGCGTCCATTCACGATCATTTCTCCATCCTTTGTCCTTGACCGAAGGTGGCGTCCATTCACGATCATTTCTCCATCCTTTGTCCTTGACCGAAGGTGGCGTCCAGTCTAGGTCCCCTTTCCAACCCTTGTCTTTACCAAAATCATACCTGCGTGTTCTGCTATAGTTAAAATCATCCCTTGCTGAGCCCTCACCTTTCCGCCACCTATCAGGTACAAATTCACCTGGTTCATAACCAGGTTCATTCTTATCAAACTCCCCTTTTCTGTCAGACTTATCAGAAATATAGTTAGCCTTTTCCCATTCCCCTTTGCGCCACCTTCCTTTGAGAAACTCCCCCCTTTTAACATCAGGTGTAATCTCCCCCTTCTCAATTTCACTCTTTATTTCGAATTTTCGCGAAAATGATTTCTCCGGAACAAGTTGTCCGTTGTCCACAGGTAAAGTACCCAATTCACCCTCCTCAACTTCATCTTTTCCAGCGTCACCATTAGACTCAATTTCTTTAACAACACTCTTAGAACTCAAGTTCACTACTTTTTTCTCCCGCTTTGCTTTCATCTTACCATTCATCTTTTTTTTCTTCTTCTTCACAGTTGCTGTAGTAGAATTTAAAGAAGAAGTACTGAACGTGCTGTTGTTAGTCTTGGGTCCACAAACTGAAAAACGCTCCATAATATGCTGTACAGGCACACATGCAACGCCTCCATCGCCCATGGAAAGCTCAAAGCTCTTCCCCACCGCCAAAACCGCACCACAGTCGCCAGAACCAAACCCTAATAATTTTCTTCTTCGCCAGGGTTGTTTATGCTCATACTGCTCCAAACAAATTCAGCTTGTCCAATTCCAATATCCGCCGGGAAAAAAAACCCTAGAAACATCCACAAAGCACATACAACAAGAAAAACAAAGATTAAACAATCAAAAATCCAGCAAATTAAGAAGAAAGAACAGAATGTAGGGTTTTGAAAAAGAGGGGAAAACTAATAGGTGTAAAATTGAAAGTTCTAGGGTTTATAATGTGAAAGAGATACATACCAGTTGAAATTGGGAGCTGAGTCGTGAGTTGTGAGATCGAAGAAGAGAGCTGAGTCAAACTCCGAGTCGAATCGAGTTTGTTGATTGTAGAGAAGAAGAGGAAGCGCGGGGGATCGAATGGATTGTTGATTTTCGCAGAGAACGAATCTCTATTTTTCGCCTTTCTCTTTCTTTTTCTCTCTCTGTATAATACTAATAATCACTATTATATAGTTTTATTATATTTTCATCGAGAGAATTTTCTGGTTCGGGCTGGGCTTTTGGCCTGAGAAGAAAGAAAGAAAACCTCAGTCAGTATTTACCCCTTTTTTTTTGTACCTTGTATAATTTTATGTAGGCACTCATAACAGCTTTCTACCGGAAATGGTAATGTAAAGGGCTTTACACGGCGGCATTAGGGTGAATTCGAAATAGTTGAATTTCACCATGGCATCGGCGAGAATTTGAAATAGCCGGATTTCAGTGGTCAGCGTGAATCCGAAATAGCCGGATCTCAGTGGTCGACGTGAATCCGAAATAGCCGGATCTCAGTGGTCGGCGTGAATTCGAAATAGCCGAAGTTCAGTGTGATCGCCATGAATTCAAAATAGCCGGATTTCAGTGGTCGGCGTGAATTCGAAATAGTCGAATTTCAGTGATCGGCGTGAATTCGAAATAGCCGATTTTCAATGGTCAATGTGAATTCGAAATAGTCGAATTTCAATGATCGCGTGAATTTGAAATAGTCGGATTTCAGTGATCGGCGTGAATTTGAAATAGTCGGAATTCAATGTCGCGCCGACGTGAATTCAAAATAGTTGGTTTTCAATGTCGCGCCGACATGAATTCGAAATAGTCGAATTTCATTGTCGCGCCGGCGTGAATTCGAAATAGTCGGATTTCCATGTCGCGTCGGCGTGAATTCGAAATAGTTAGATTTCAGTGCCGCGTCGGCGTGAATTCGAAATAGTCGAATTTCAATGCCACATCGACGTGAATTCGAAATAGTCAGATTTTAATACCGCATCGGCATGAATTCGAAATAGTTGGGTTTTAATGGAGGTATCTAACACTTATCTTTATACCATTTGGGTGACTTAATTTCCCTAATTGTTTTAGTCTTTGACATTTGAGAAGATTCAATAGTGAATGTTGTTGATTAAGTATTGATTTTGAGTTGAAACATGAAAATTGAGATTTTTGAATGTGAATTACAGTAGTATTTCACTTGGAGATAAATTGAAATTTGGAGAGAAAATCTATAAAACAATTTAATTTTTTGAAATTTATTTAAAGATTAGATTTTTAAAAATTTGATATTTTTGAAGTTAAATTTGATTCAAAATATATGGTAAGTATTAGCTAACTTGCTATCATTATTAATAGAATTTAAGTAAAATAATAATTTGGGCAAGTAAATATGATTACTTTTTCTAGTCCAATATTAAGTAAATTGTTGAGATTTTTTCATAATTTAAAATAAATGATTTTTTAAAAATCAAAGAGAATTGTTGAGATTTTTCTTATTTACCCTTTCTTTAATAAGAATTTTAATATTTTATATTTTCAAGGAAAATGGTTTAGAACCATCAAAAGATAATTGTGGTAAGTAACATTTAATTTATATGTATAAATATTTTTCTTAAAAAGTATATAAATTAAGTAAATTGTTAGGACTTTTTTTATAGTTTAAAATAAGTGAATAAATTGTTCAAAATTGTTAGAACTTTTTTCATAGGACTTTCTAGTCTACTGTTTTCATAGTTTAAAATAAGTGAATTGTTTAAAATTTAAGAAAGTTATTAAAGACTTTTTCCCTTATTTATCTTCTTTTAATAAGATTCTTAATACTTTATATTTTCGAGTAGACTAATTTAGAATAATAAAAAAATATTAACCAAAAGTAACTTTTAAGTTTCATTTAAAAAAAAAAATCTTAAAAATATATCATATCTGGATTATTTCTTAAAAATATATCATATATGATAATTCACTTAATATGAAATAAACCGATATTTAAAATAACTGATAATGAACTACTATTACTACCACACATACGTGTGTGAAAATTAAAACTGACCATCTGCCCGGAGGGTAGGTAAATGTGTTTCTGAAACAAAGGGAGGGGTGTTTTTGTCATTTGGTAATGTGGATCTTGAAAAAAACAAAGATCATAGGGACATTTTGGTAAAGCAATGGGGGTAAAAACGTCATTTGATACTTAAATTGGAGGGAAAATATCTTAAGTTGGAGGGAGTTCCAAAGTTAATTATCTGGATCCCGCGCTCCCCAAAATTATAAGATGTGTTTGAGACAAATGAGAAATAGCGGCGGAGTCGGGATTTTTAGTAATAGACTTAAGATATAAAAAGTAAAATATATGAAAAAATTAAAAAAAAGTTTTTATCAATGTGAGGTAATTTTTTATCAAAAGGAATTTGATTGTACCTCTCCGCATCGACGAGCAATATTTTTTTTGTTCCTCTTGCAATGGAATCCAAACAATTTTGGGGTCGTTTGGTGTGAGGAATAAAAATAAATAGTAAGGGATAAGAAAATAGTAATGGGATAAAAAAATTGTGTCTTGTTTGATTGTCATGTTTGGAACAACTTATTCCAACATTTATATCATAGTAATGTGCTAAGTTATCTTATATACATAATGGGATGAATTATCCCAGTATAGCTAATCTCAAAATAACTAATCATGGAATAACTTATTCTCGACCAAACGACCCCTTATAGTAAATAATATATAATTCTCAAATCCAATAACATAAGTTTTCTTTTTTTCTGTGTTGTTTGTCAAGCAGCAGAATGTATGGTCAATGGAAGATGGTACGAGGTACAGATATCATTGCAGAAGGTTTTGTTTTTCTTGTGTAAGAATTGAACAAGTGTTTACTCCTATATTTTTTCAAAAACCATAAATAAGTATTTGAAAATATCTCTAAACTTGACATTTTATTAGTTTTGTCCCTAAATCATTGACAATTTTATTAAAAATACTCTTTTATTTGACTAACTAAACTTAATATATACTTTCAATTTGCCACATGACATAGCAAGTGATCTCAAATTCATGTAGAAGTATGGAACTCTTAATAAAAAACCGAGGGAAGTGTTGAGAACACTTTCAAACTTGGCGAAAATTTACTGGTGTATTTTTCACTCATGTTGCAAGATCAGGTGTATCTATGTTCAGTTAATCAAGTAATGGAGTGTTTTCAAGACTGTCAATAGTTTAAGGATGAAACAAATAATTCATCATAGAGTTTAGGGGTGTATTCAATACTTCATCTATTTTCTTTTTCAAATTTGGTTACTCAACTTAGTCGAATTATTAAAAGGGTTGATTTTACAGATCACTTACAAAATATAAAATAAATTATGATATTGTTATGATAAATTTCACCCTATATTTGGACAAGAATGTTGGGTATATAACAAGAGTTAATGGGAAATGGAGGGACGATGAAAAGAAAGGAACTTGAAAAGTTCTCTTATGCTTTAGTAAAAAGACATTTCTCCCTCATCGGTGGTGGAAAGAAAAAATAGAAGTGTTTAAATAGAGAAACACTTATATTAATTGTTAAAAGGGTTGGAAAGAGGGACCCCCTCGCGCCGTCGTCGTCGTCGTCGCTCGGCTGTGGCCGCAGCCTTTCGGAACCAGTTCCTCTTGGCTATAAATACCTTTGATTCCTCAGATTTTTACTTACAAAATTTTTGACTTCTTCTGCACAAATTTTATTCGTGTACTTTACTGCCGTTGAGTGGCTCACTAACACCAGAGTTTTGGGTATCAATGCACTGGTGATTAAGATCGTTCTATCCTGGGAGGATATATTCCAATTCAAACCTCGGATACTAGAGGAGAATAATTTTCTTAAGGGGGCACTGCATTCAGTGGGCTCATTTTCTTTCTATTCTGTTTCATACAAATTCTGGTACGTTTTACAGATTTTAGTTTTTTGTTAATTAATTTATGTTCTTCACTGAGTGATTTAAACTTTGGAAATTTATTGTTTCTGCAAAGTTTTGTTATCACCAGTATTGTTTAGAATACAGATTGCATAACAAAGAATGCTTCGAATTGGCGATCACAAAAATGGGAGCCACCATCATTTTTGATAGCCCGATGGGTATCAAATCTCGTAAAGATATACCTATTGAGAAATTGTGTTACACTGTGCCCCTCATTGTTGGGTAAAGCCATTGCTTCTACCCACTTCAACAAATAGTCGACGACCACCAAATTATACTTGTTACCAAAAAGAAGTTACAAAGGTCCCATGACATCTATTCCTCACACATCAAAGAGCTCAATATCAAGAATTTGTGAGAGATGAAGTTCATGCTTTCGAGAGATACCCCTTTACATTTGGCATTAAACACACACCTTAGAGAAAACATATACATCTTGGAATAACGTTGGCCAATAATATCCACATTGTGATGTTCGACGCTATACAAACATCACAATGATGCCCACCTACATGCGATGCATGAAAAAAATTAAGAATTGGTTGGACTTCAACTTCTGGGACACGACACCGATTTATATGATCAACGCATTCCCTAAAAAAATTGGGCTCATCCCAAAAATACTTCATCACCTCAAAGAGAATTTTCTTCTTCCAATAATTACTCAGCCCGTCGGGCACAATTCCACAAACTACATAATTATCATAGTCTGCATAATATGGTGTTGAACTATGAAAGAGCACCATAACCAGCTCAACGGGAAACACTTCATCTATCTTCCTTTCCCCAGCCAATGCAACACGCAGTTCAAGACGAGACAAATCGTTAGTCGCTTGGTTCTCACAACCCATTCAATCCTTCATCTCAAAATCAAATTCTTG